TTCTTAAAACAACATTTAACACAACATCAACAATAAAAGCACATTGGGGGTCGGCGGCATCAGGCGTCAGCCTGCTTAATAGCATAGCACCTCACGGGTAGTACTGGTGCTAGCCATGTGACTCCACATCACCGCTGTCACGAGTGTCTCTGTGACCTCCTGAAAGGCCGTTGCCTTTGCCACAAACACGGTACCAAACCATCCAGTCAGCCAGCCAGCCAGCCAGCCAGGCGGACCAGCCCTAGTAAACAAACACCAGCCCTAGTATCTCACTCATCATCTCCTACTCAAATCCTTTCAAAAAGGAAGCTCAGAGTTAAATTCTTCCAGGTAAACTCATGCTTTGTTTGGGGGGGCCAACCCCCCCTTCCCCCATCTACCCACTTTCCTAGGCAGATTTATGTTTTGGGGGGAGCCACCCCGAACTCATCCCATGCGGACCTGTGGGTGATATTTTTTCCACGGGACCGCAGGACCCGAAGTCCAGCCACATGAGTCACTCGCTCGCTCAACACCCCTGGTATTAAACTGGTCAAATCCCCAGAAAACCACGCCTCAAGAACTAAGGCGGAGAGCCGCAGCGAATGATTTCTGGTTGGGATCCCTGACTAACCTTGATCAATCCCCGAATGTTTAGCACGTGGCTCACATTACTCACTTGCCCAAGAGACCTAGAAATAAAAGGTGATCACCTTTTGGGACCTTTACTAAAAATGGACCAAAATTGGAAAACCAAAAGGGACCAAAATTGGAAAACCCATTCTGGGACCAAAATGGGAAAACCAAAAGGTCAAAAGGCCCCAAAAAGAAGCGCTCCAAGAGGCCTGGAGCTCCTCCCGCTCCGTGCCTTCGCCCGCCTGGCGGATGGCTGAAAGATGCGGTGATCTCAAGTTGCAGCTGATGTGTCCACCTTCCGAGTCTAGTTGTTTTTCGTTTTTTTCCAATTTTTTGATTTTTTATATGTTTATCCATTGTTCAAATATATGCATATAAATATGTCCTATGTTGGAGATGTGTTTTTTGGCGTGTTTGTTGTGTTGTAGGAGATGTGAGGTTTCCATGTGTTATTTTTTTTTCTGAATCTTGAATCTTGTCTGACATGCCGATTCCCAGTAGGGAATGGCGGGATTTAGGCTCCTTCTCAACTCCGGGTCAACATGATGTCCTTGAGGCATGATTGTAGGGAATGGGGGTGGGGGTGTAGAACCACTTTGCGTGAACCTTGGTTGTTTCTGAAAGTCAGATTTTTTTGAGAAACTTTTGCACCACCCAAACACTTTCGAATTGACGGTAATGTTAACTTCGGATTGATGGGGTGGTTCCCCTGAGTCCTCCGAGTGGACAGGCCAAAGAAAGTCACAACTTTTCGTGCGCAGCCAAAATGGTTCCAGACCCAAACAGTGACTTAAGCTTTATGAACGGACAAGTGCGATACCTGTATCCGAGCCGCCCAGATTCGGGCGCCTTGGCGGCCGGCTGCCGAATCGACGGGTGCGGGGCCGGGTTCCCGAATTGCTCGTGGCGGGCCCCGCACGGTCCCGAATATATGCTAGGCCCTCCAGTAGAGAGGTTAGAATAAGGGCACCCTCTTTTTTTTCCGTAGTCTATTTTAGTAGGGTTCGGAACCCTCCCCCAAACAAGAAACGGTCAAAGTTGGCACCTAGCTGGGGGGACCTATGGCTTCTTGGCTACAACAATATACCACAAAGGCCGTGGTTTCGGGGGGGTGGGGGGCGGCTCGCACCCGCCTGGAGCTGGCGGGCGCAGAGGGCGAAGTCCGCCACGGCGCGGTCCACTGCGCCGCCGAGGACCTGCGACGGCCGTGGAGTACGGCAGGGCGACCGGCCCATACCAAAATGGGTGTTTCATGGTCCTCCTTATTGTTGAGACCCCCCCCAGTAGCGAGTTTCAGTTTGAAGCACGCGACATGTGGGACCCCTTTGTACCGGGGGCTAATCCCTTTGAACCCAAACCCATCAACTCAGAACGTACTTGGAACGGCCAGGTTTGGAAAGCCCCAGCTTTTGAGCGGTCGAGTCGCGTTTGAGGGCTTTGGGCCTTGTACGGTTTCCTGTAGCCCAAGTTGATTTTGCATTGGTATTTAGTATTCCTTGCTTATTTCTGACCTCAGGCGATAAATTTTGCAATGTTCGCCTGTTGACCCACCTTCTGCCATGACTACAAAAAGACCAATTCTGGGAAACCAAAAGGTCAGATCCGGCCGATTCACTTTGAGAATTGGATTTCCCAGGCCTAACAAAAACCACCGGCCGAGCAAACGACCTCAAGTTCTGCACCTGACCAAAGAGCCCACAACCGTGTCGCAAGCACGCGGCATCTTTTGCGGGACAAGTGGTTTTTCGGGTGACCCACAAAAACTGCTCCGGGGTGAAAGGAAAATGCAACTGAAAGGGAGGCCAAGCTTCTTCTTCAGGATACCCTATTGCGAACATCAAGATTTCCCCGTGCCAGGGATTTGCAAGCAGCCCTTCTATTCTTAGTTTGGGGACATCCCAACCGTCTCCCACAAGGATCCGGCAACAGGACCGCACTCTCATTGCTTGATACCCATAGCTTAGCTGTGGTTCGCAGATGTTTGCAGCACGTTTGTCTCCGGCCGGGGGAAGTGCACCACTCCTGGCCGGCAGAACACGAGAGGACTTAAAACGCCACCACCAGCGGGACACAGAGCAAAACACCGGACCGTCCCGGACCCAGGTCCACAGTTCCATGGCAATTGCTGTCAGCCCCATGAGCCACCAGTGGGGGGGTGCCCACGATTTGGGGGGGGGGGGGGCGCCCAAAAGGTTGGGCCGGGGGTACTTGCAGCCAGATCTAGCCCCATGATTGAGAGAGTTTACTATCTATCCAGCCCCTTTTCTCTCCGTGAGAACCACCACGTTAAGGGGGCCTTCGTGTGCGAAGAAGGCACCCAGAAGAGGAAAAGGGAAAAGAAGAGAAAGAAGGCACCAGAAAGAGGAAAGGAAAAGGAAGGAAAGAAGAGGAAAATTGGCGTCCATTGTCCCAAGGTTTGGTAAATGGAATGCAACCAATCTGAACCAGTGCCATCTATGTCCAACCGAACCCACCTAAAAGGCTATGCAAGGAGGTCCCTTAACTCACTCTGGGTTGGGCGTCCAGCGTCTGGACTTCTTGATCACTAAATCCAGCGACTCAAGTCCGGACAGCTCAAGGAGTGAGTTCTGAGCCCGGGCGAGTTTCTCCAAATGCGGCCAAGCTCACTGGGTTGGGATCACCACCTTTCGTCCCCCCAATCCCCTGCCTTTTGGTTGCAGACATCAATCTGCTCCTCAGATCAATCTCTCGACCCCTGAAGAAGGTTTTTTTTTTGCGGCAGAAAGTCGCCGTGTTTGTTTCTAAACTGTGGGTCCCCTAAATGGTGGGTTTCTCTTTGGTTTTCCTCCAGCTATCCACTGAAAGGGGTCAACCATTTGGGGGAAGCTCTCACATCCTATCAAAGTCTTGGGTAGTATGGTAGTGGTTTCGGGGTAGGATAGAATCTCGAGCAAAAGCTCTCGCAAATCGCGCCAATTTCTTGAACAAACTTCTCCGGCTCAGCATACATGGGGACCAACCCGGAGAAAACAAGACCTCCTGCGAGGGGAAAACAAATGGGCACCCGGATGTGTCTTTTGTTTGAGGGTAGTTTTTGTTATTTTGGTGGGTTTAGAGGCAAACTGCAAGGAAGACCAACGCCATTTTCTGGGTCCAATCTTAACAACCGACGAGCCAGCCTTGCGCATACTTGGTGGAAGGGCGCTCGACCCAGGTCTCTGGGGACTTGGAGGGTCCATTAAATCAGCTTCCCTCGGTTCTTTTTGGTGCGGTGGTTTTGAGGTTCCGAGGGGCCTATTCACCCTCTACAAGAACCAGGGGTTCAAATCCGAATCCAAACCACCAATCCGCAACCGCCAAGGGGTTGCCTGAAAATGGGCGAGCCCGAAAAGCAAAGAGGTTCCATTCAGTTTCGCTTCATCCGTGTGCTCGTCACCCGACCATCTCAGAGACAAGTCCCAAAAAATATCGTTCTTGGAGAACTTCCTCTGTTGGGGCAATGTGAATTTGTAGGTATGTTTCTATAATTCAAGCGAAGAGCTAACATGCAACTAAGTTGTCACCAAACAATTGTCTGGAAATTCCCATGCAACCCCAGGCCGGTCCCAAAGCGCATCGAATAGCATTCCAAGCGGGGGTGAGCACCTGCAATTCCCCATGCCAGCACCCCTGCTTTTTCCCCAGCCCACAGCCAAGAACCGTTGAGAAAGCGGTCGTTTGGGGCACTGCGGGTCGTTGCCCTTGGGGCAATTGGCCTAGGGAACCCGAAGCAAGCCGCCAGCCGCGAACGGAAACTGCTACCCCCCCGTCCCAAGTGGTCCAAGGTGAACCTTGCCTTTGCCCGGATGTACTACCGCATTGCCGGCCGTTCACCTTCCGCGCTTGCGGCTTGCTGGGCTGCTGCCGCCATGACGACCGAGCTCTTGCAGTGCAGGGCGCAGGCACGTCGACACCAGCGCGTGCAGGCACGGCTGCAAACGAGGCTCTGCTTTGCAGATTTGGACAGCCGCCTTCTCCTTCTGCCGCAGATGCTGGTGCTTGTGGTCCCATAAATGCCGTCCCGGAGTGTGGCAGAACCCTGGAAAGGCTCTTGACCTTGCCGAAGTGTTGTTCAACGGCGCGTTCCTACGTCTGGGAGCGCTCAAGCTTGTCCTCCATGGACAGAATGACTGCGCAATGACAAAGCATGCGAATGTTCTTCACAGCTTGTTCAGGCAGAAAGTGCTGTTCATGCTTGCCGGGGTATTTTGACCTAGCAAACAAAAAACTGGCCCACACCCATCGAAAGAGTGAACAACTTGGACAAGCTCGACTGGGTGCTAAACGGTGCTAAAACAACATATCCAGCCGTACTGGTCTCATTTGCTAAGCTCATCATAAACTACTTGCTACTGGGACCCAGTGAGGCAAATCTTAGTTGCCCCTTAGGGACCCAGGAATAGAAGTAGAAGGTTAACCTTTTGCGCCATGACTAAACATGGGCCAAATCTGAAAACCAAAAGGCAAAAGTTCGGCTTTGGGCAACTGATGAATGTAGTAAGTCCCTCATGTCCCTCCCAAATTGACCGTACACTACTGGAAAGTTTCAGCGAACCTCCCAAATTGTTTGCCTCAGGACCAAACGAACGCTTTAACCAAAAACGAAAACGCCAATCTGGAGTACCAAGCGACTCTCTGGGCCATGAAAAAGGGAGACACCGCGTTTTGGCTGCGGGCTAGCAATCCTGCTTCTACCCGACTTGTCCGTACTCCTGGTAATCAAACGTGGGTTTTCACAAAGTTAGTGGGCTAAATGGAAAACCCCACTAAACACTCAAAAGCTAAAAAGCTAAGGGGATGGCTGGGAGCCACCAAGTATCCACTTCCCATGTTGCAGGAACTGGCGCCGAAATGCTCCCTCGAGTCTGGGTTTTCGCTCGGCGAAAGGTATCTTAGTATGGGAGCAACTTTGGCAACTTTGTGCAGCCCGCTTTCACGAACCAAAACACGGCTAAGACAAAGCTTGAAAAGACGGAAGCCGCCAGAAAAACTACCAAACTAGAACGAAACTCGGCGAGCTTGCTTAAAGGACGAACGCAGCCAAGAAACCAAACAACACATTGTTTTCCAAGAACCTCCGTCCCTCCCGGCAGCCTGGAGCGCTGGAGGCACGCGCTGCCTCACCTGGTCGTGTTGTTCAGGGAGAAAACATTTTTTCGGCTGGAAATAACAGGAGGTGCTACAAAACTCGTGTGTAGAAAGTGGGTCTTGGGTGCGCCTTTTGTGGGTTTTAAACAGAAACCAAGAGCAAACCCACGATTTTTGGGGTCCTCCAAAAAGGCAACACCCATATTAAGTACAAAGTGAATAGACTTGTCTTTCTAAAATCAAATTGCTGCGTTCCGTGATGTTTTGTTTTGTGGAGTTTTAGAGGGGGCCAAAGTCTGCTGGACTCTTCCTGTTTACAAGTTGACAGCCCTCGGCTCGTTTCTTTTGGTGGGGGGCGGGGGGGGGGGGGGCGGGTGGGGTTGGCTTAAGGAAGCTTGGATCCAAGTCTGCCTTTGTCTGCCCCTAATATGGCACCCTTGTTGATTGTGTGTCAATTTTTTTTTTTTTTTTTTTTTTTTTTTTTTTTTTTTTTTTTTATACAAAACATGTCTTTCTTCCCTTTGGCGTGGGGGGAGACTTCCCAAAATTGCGGTTTTTTGGTGGTTTTTTTGGTGGTTTTGGTGTCATCTATTTTCCTTTTTAAAACCACCAAACATGGTGGTCATGGGGTACCACAAAAAGGACAAAGTCAAATGAGCTGTGATTCCAACAAAATGCCGCTTCCGCGGATTGAACATATGGCTGCCTTGTCGCAGGTGACTGCTCTTGGCTGGAAAGTGATTGATTGCGCCCGCTAGTTCCCCACCAATAATAAGCCGAAGAACCCAAGAAGATACTTGTTCCCGCCAACTCGGAGGTTCCTCCTTTTGAATTGTGTGAGTTAAACCAGCTGCAGAGTAAAATTCACCCTCCGTTGGATGCATTCTATCTCTCTCCCCCTCTGCCGTTGCAAGGAACCTGATTTGTTTAGGCCCTCTTCCCAGCCCTTGGTATGGTAGCCAGAACTGTGCCTTTTGCAAACGAACAGTTTGAGCAGAACCACAACAAGAAGAAAACAATCAGATCCCTCCCTCCCTCCCTCCCTCCCTCCCTCCCTCCGGTTTCCTCGTCCAGAAGCCGATCGCTGCCCACACCGCAGCGCGCATACACCTCGTGAACCCCGGGGCTTGGAATCCGATGCGTGACTTTTAGGGCAATGGGATGGGGTGCTTCACGAGGCCTTAGCCTTGAAGAAAACAAGTTGTGATCTTTCAGCCCCCCTTTGAACAACAAACCAAAGCAAAAAATGGTTCTTCAGTGGCACTCAGTTGAGGTTGGTGATGTTTTTTTTGCGCTTAGTGCACAAATGCGCCGGTGCACTCCTTCACACTGTCCCCACAGCCCGGAACTGCCAGGAAATTGCCCGGAAAACAATGGAAAACCAGCGAGTCAGGAGGTCGGCCTGTTGGGCAAGCAAGCGCACGGTGGAAAGTGCGCCTTTCTGTGATCTCCAAGCGACCTGCACGTTATCACTTAGAAAGGGGTCTCTTTTAAGCATCACAGAAGTCATCTGCCTAACACCAAACACCCAGTGTTCCACAACAATGGTTATAGGGCCCCCTGAAATTAGGCGAGAAACTGCATCTGCAAAAACAACATCCAGCTGGAACCGGCTGAAGAAAAGGTGCCGACTTGCTTGACTGGGATTGAAAACTGCAGATCGAAGCCCTCCTGTGGACCACATCTAAAGCTTCGCACCAATTGTCAGGTGGTTGACCAAGGGACACCCCCTCAAAAGGGCCAGGCGGGCACCACTGGAGGTCTGGGTTGATGTATTCATTCGGTGGATGGAAGAAATCTTGCATGACTTTTGTACAGATCCACTCCATCTTGCTACTTACAACTTACCCCGCGCCGCCTAATTAACATTGGTGCTCAGTTCGGCCAAGTTGGGTTGGGTCATGCAAGATTTAGGTCATTGGCAACCTACCGGCCCGTCACAGCTCAATGTTAAGTAGGGGGCACGGGGTGGTAAACATGTAGTCTTGTAAAACTCATGCAAGAATTCTTCCATCAATAGTAGGTCGTATTCATCCCGCAAAAATAATTTTGTCTGTCAGTGGGAAGGCTCTCGGGAAAGGGCTGGCTCAGGGATCCTTCGAAGCCTTAATCCGCCCAGACAAATTCAGTTTCATAAACCCAACGCCCACAAAAGGCCAAATAAGGCCTCAGGAGTTGGGGGCACCGCTGTTTGACTTTTCGAGGGTTGGCCAAAGCAAACATCAGAAGCGTTTCCTCAAGTCGGGGCGCGCAAGTTGCTGGTTTCAGGCCAGGCTCCCCAACTCCCCCATCACTCCATCCCTCCAAGACATTTCCCCAGCCCCAGCCCAAATCCCGCAACCACCCGCAATCACACGCAACCACCCGCAACCACCAACAACCACCCGCAACCACCCGTAACCGCCCGCAACCACCAACAACCACCCGTAACCACCGGCAACCTTCCCCTCCCAATCTTTCGGGGCCCCGTGCCAGGCATCGAGCCTCCGTGCTGCTTGGGCCCTGGCAACAGCGGCATGCGTCACTTGAACGAGACCGGTGATGTACCCTCCATGCACCCATGAGCTCAGTTGCCCCTCAGGGACCCCGAAATAGGTCAACCGTTTGGGGCCATGACTAAAAATATGCCAAAATGGAGAAATTCAAAGGTCAAAGGGTCGATCCGCTTTGGGCAAAGCTCTGAGTTTTCTGTTCCCATATTATGGTCTTTGAGGGTTTCGTTCACTTGCCCCATGCCACTTGATGGCGGGGACTGGCGGCCTGGGGGCTCAAAAGTTAAGCGATCCATGAGTCAACAAACCTTCATGGGTAACCTTGTTTTCGATCCAGGTGAGCTCCTTGGTCTTGGACCCACCCTTTAACCGTAAGCCCCCAACTTAGGGGTCATGGCCCCTTAGGCTACATGGTCACATTACTTCTTTGACGCTTTCGGGGCTTTACCTGGAAGCAACAAAACAGATTCAACGGAACCAACCCAACCATAACTCAGCCGGTCCTCAATGCCCAAGCGACAACTTGAGCGCAATACATTTTCCCCGAAGAGCGAGGCCGCCCCTACAAGACTCTGACTTTAAACTCATACGCTGGATGGAAGCACTCCTGCACCGCCTCAGGTGGCCCACACAAAGGTCATAAGGTGCAAACCCCTGGCCCCTACTTCAATGTTGAACAGCGACGCATGACGGGCGGATGTTTGTCAACTGCATGGTTCGGCGCGTGTACCTTTCGAAGAACCAATATCAAGTTGGGAGCACGAGGCGAGACAAGAATGCTCTCATTTAGACGGCGCAGAGTTGCTTCCGTCAACAGAGGGGGCCCGATTATGTCATGTCCGCAAAAATGGGGGGGTCTCTCCGAAACTGTGGCATCTGTTTTTGGCCGGGGTAGACTAATATAGAACAGAATCAGGAAATGTGATTTTCCGTGCCCCAAATGGCGTGGGCCAAGAGAACTTTCTTTAATTCATGCTTCATAATCAAGATGAAGGGGATCTCGCTACAAATAGGTGCGTCTTTTTTTATAGGAAAACCCGGAAAAACAAATTGCGGTTTTCCTCGCGGTTTTTCCCTTAAATCCGTCAAACAAGGTAGACCCTCAAGGAATCCGATCGAGACGAGGTTCGAGGTTAACCGCACCTTGTCCACGATGCGATCGCTCTTAGGCCTTGGGAGTAGGACGATCGCAAGGCGCCTCCACCGGCCTCAAGAAACCTGGGTCTCTGCTAGGTACTGGGTGTATAAACATATACATATATATATATATGTATGTGGTCAGCCCTCAGAGGTAGTTCTTTTTTTGGGGGGGGGGGTGAGCACAAGTAAACAAACAATTATATATACATACATATATATATATGAGGAGCGGACGAAACCCTTTACTTGGCCTTAGTACTTTTTTTAACGTCATCGTTTTTGGGGGAGACCTCATCGTTTTACAGTGTTTTCGAACTTTGGCAGATCCGGCTCCAAAATCGCAACTTTCTAGCACAATTCTAGTACGCGAAGTACACTTCCGCAGCTCCAGCTCGAAATTCGCAACTTTGTAGTACAAGTCTAGTACGCGAAGTACACTTCCGCAGCTCCAGCCCGAAAAGTGCGAAATACAATTCCGCAGCTCCAGCTCGAAAAGCGAAACTTGGCAGGCAGTACAAGTCTAATACGCGAAGTACACTTCCGCATCTCCAGCTCGAAAATCGCAACTGTGCAGTACAAGTCTAGTACGCGAAGTACACTTCCGCAGCTCCAGCTCAAAAATCACAACTTTGTCGTGCAAGTCTAGTACGCGAAGTACACTTCCGCAGCTCCAGCTCGAAAATCGCAACTTTGTAGTACAAGTCTAGTACGCGAAGTACACTTCCGCATCTCCAGCTCGAAAATCGCAACTTTGTAGTACAAGTCTAGTACGCGAAGCGCACTTCCGCAGCTCCAGCTCGAAAATCGCAACTTTGTAGTACAAGTCTAGTACGCGAAGTACACTTCCGCAGCTCCAGCTCGAAAATCGCAACTTTGTCGTACAAGTCTAGTACGCGAAGTACACTTCCGCAGCTCCAGCTCGAAAATCGCAACTTTGGAGTACAAGTCTAGTACGCGAAGTACACTTCCGCAGCTCCAGCTCGAAAATCGCAACTTTGTAGTACAAGTCTAGTACGCGAAGTACACTTCCGCATCTCCAGCTCGAAAATCGCAACTTTGTAGTACAAGTCTAGTACGGGAAGTACACTTCCGCATCTCCAGCTCGAAAATCGCAACTTTGTAGTACAAGTCTAGTACGCGAAGTACACTTCCGCATGATCCCACCCCCCAAATTCTTCCAGCTCGATCATCGCAACTTTGTAGTACAAGTCTAGTACACGAAGTACACTTCCGCATCTTCAGCTCGAAAATCGTAACTTTGTAGTACAAGTCTAGTACGCGAAGTACACTTCCGCAGCTCCAGCTCGAAAATCGCAACTTTGTAGCACAAGTCTAGTACGGGAAGTACACTTCCACAGCTCCAGCTCGAAGATCGCAACTTTGTCGTACAAGTCTAGTAAGCGAAGTACACTTCCGCAGCTCCAGCTCGAAAATCGCAACTTTGTAGTACAAGTCTAGTACGCGAAGTACACTTCCGCAGCTCCAGCTCGAAAATCGCAACTTTGTAGTACAAGTCTAGTACGCGAAGTACTCTTCGAGCTCCAGCTCGAAGATCGCAATTTGTCGTACAAGTCTAGTACGCGAAGTTACCTTCCGCAGACTCCAGCTCGAAAATCGCAAACTTTGTTTGGTACAAGTCTAGTTCGCGAATAGTATACACTTCCGCGATCTCGCTCGATAATTCGCAACTTTGTTGTACATGTCTAGTACACGAGTACACTTCGCATCTTCAGCTCGGAAAATCGCAAACTTTATGTTTGTTTGTAATACAAAGTAGTACAAGTCTAGTACGGGAAGTACACTTCCACAGCGCTCCAGCTTGAAAATCGCAACTTTGTAGTACAAGTCCAGTACGCGAAGTACACTTCCGCATCTCCGCTCGAAAATCGAAACTTTGTAGTACAAGTCTAGTACGCGAAGTACAGAGTTCATCAGCTCCAGCTCGAGAATCGCAACTTTGTAGTACAAGTCTAGTACGCAAAGTACACTTCCGCAGCTCCAGCTCGAAAATCGCAACTTTGTAGTACACGTCTAGTACGCGAAGTACACTTCCGCAGCTCCAGCTCGAAAATCGCAACTTTGTAGTACAAGTCTAGTACACGAAGTACACTTCTGCATCTCCAGCTCGAAAGTCGCATCTTTGTAGTACAAGTCTAGTACGCGAAGTACACTTCCGCAGCTCCAGCTCGAAAATCGCAACTTTGTAGTACAAGTCTAGTACGCGAAGTACACTTCCGCAGCTCCAGCTCGAAAATCGCAACTTTGAAGTACAAGTCTAGTACGCGAAGTACACTTCCGCATCTCCAGCTCGAAAATCGCAACTTTGTAGTACAAGTCTAGTACGAGAAGTACACTTCCGCATCTCCAGCTCGAGAATCGCAACTTTGTAGTACAAGTCTAGTACGCGAAGTACACTTCCGCAGCTCCAGCTCGAAAATCGAAACTTTGTAGTACAAGTCTAGTACGCGAAGTACACTTCCGCAGCTCCAGCTCGAAAATCGCAACTTTGTAGTACTAGTCTAGTACGCGAAGTACACTTCCGCAGCTCCAGCTCGAAAATCGCAACTTTGTAGTACAAGTCTAGTACGCGAAGTACACTTCCGCAGCTCCAGCTCGAAAATCGCAACTTTGTAGTACAAGTCTAGTACGCGAAGTACACTTCCGCAGCTCCAGCTCGAAAATCGCAACTGTGTAGTACAAGTCTAGTAAGCGAATTACACTTCCACATCTCCAGCTCGAAAATCGCAACTTTGTAGTACAAGTCTAGTAAGCGAAGTACACTTCCGCATCTCCAGCTCGAAAATCGCAACTTTGTAGTACAAGTCTAGTACGCGAAGTACACTTCCGCATCTCCAGCTCGAAAGTCGCAACTTTGTAGTACCAGTCTAGTAAGCGAAGTACACTTCCGCATCTCCAGCTCGAAAATCGCAACTTTGTAGTGCAAGTCTAGTACGCGAAGTACACTTCCGCATCTCCAGCTCGAAAATCGCAACTTTGTAGTACAAGTCTAGTACGCGAAGTACACTTCCGCAGCTCCAGCTCGAAATTCGCATCTTTGTAGTACAAGTCTAGTACGCGAAGAACACTTCCGCAGCTCCAGCTCGAAAATCGCAGCTTTGTAGTACAAGCCTAGGCTGTACGCGAAGTACACTTCCGCATCTCCAGCTCGAAAATCGCAACTTCTCAGTACAAGTGTCGTATTTACAGAGCCGTGTGGTCGTTAAGGGTCATCGTTTTTGGGGGAGACCTCATCGTTTTCCATGGTTTTGGGATGTGTTACTCAAAAGCGTGCCCCGTCTTGATAAAGTGGTCTACGCGTGTTTTGTCCGTGGCTCATATATATTATTAGTATTATTATTTTTTAAGCCTAAATCATTAAAATGAGGCTGTGGGGTGCTTCGCTGCCAATGTTGGCCCTGATTTTGAAAGTAGAACATGAGCATTTGTTCAGCCACTTACACTTATATCAAACAAATACCCACAGCCAAGAAAGCACCACACAGCTCACAGCAAGCAACACACACACACAGCACACTCACACACACCACACAACGCAAAACACACAACCACACAAATACGGAGCCGAGAGAGCCACAGACAGAGAAACAAACAGAGGCAGACACGCGCACACACAAAGACTTGGAAAGGAAACAAAGGCAGACATACAAGGACACACAGAAAGACACAGAAAGACACAGAAAGACACGCAGACACCACACAGACACACACACACACACACACACGCAAACCCAGAGACGCAGCCAAACAAAGACGCAAACACAAGGAGATAAAAACACCGACAGGCACGCAGACACACACACACACACATAAGCAAGCAAAAAAGCAGAAACGCAGAGACACAAACACACAGTCACACGGACACGCACAAACCCGCAGAAACGCACAGATACAAGCACGCAGACACGCGGACACGCACAAACACACAAACCAAGATGCACACAAACAAACACACACACACAAACAAACAAACAAACACAAACACACACACACAAACACACACACACACAACACACACACACAACACAAACACAAACACACACACACAAACACACACAAACACGCACAAACACACACACACACACACACACACACACACACACACACACACACACACACACACACACACACACACACACACACACACACACACACACACACACACACACACACACAAACACACACACACACACACACACACACACACACACACACACACACACACACACACACACACACACACACACACACACACACACACACACACACACACACACACACACACACACACACACACACACACACACACACACACACACACACACACACAAACACACAACACACACACACACACACACACACACACACACACACACACACACACACACACACACACACACACACACACACACACACACACACACACACACACACACACACACACACACACACACACACACACACACACACACACACAACACACCCACACACACAAACACACACACACACACACACACACACACACACACACACACACACACACACATGCGCGCGCACACGCGCACACGCGCATTGGAGCTTCCAGCTAATTGGAGGTTTGCATTGGTGGTTTGGAGCTTAAGGGGTGGTCTCCCATTCACCCAGGGGGTTCAACCCCCCAAACCACCAATCGAAACCGCCAATTGAGGGTACCCGAATATTCGGTCCACCCTAAGAACTGTAATACGTCGATTGCTTGGGAGGAGGCCCCACAACCTGGAGAATCGATGCGTGGACTCAGGATCGGGCTTCTCCGGCTCTTCGAAGCTCGGAAGGACTGGCAACGGCGAAGGCTGCTGTGAGGTCCCAGGTAGAGGTTCAAGGGGTATATGTGCCGCTGATATTTCAAACATAGAAATATATAATGTGTACTCCATTTGTTCCTGCCCTCCACGTATGAGCATAAATGTATGTAGATGGAGAGGGAGACAACGATAAGTGTATGTAGACACATGCAACTCCATCCCTTTAGCTGTTCCTGACAGCATGTAATCCAACAGGGGGGCCTAGAAGATATGTAGTTGAGCCCTTCAATGGGGGATTCTAGCCAATGTGTTTCTAGCCACGGTCAATGTTCATTGCCATGAAAACTTGGCGAGCAGGCCTCTGAGTGGCCAAAACAAGTCACAAAACTCGTTCTTTGCCTTGCCCAGCAGGTTGGACTTGGAGAAAGCTGGCCAGTGCAAGCTTAGCAATAAGTTGGCCATGTGTTCCCTGGTCAAAGGCGTAGCATCCCCCAACGGGCCCATCATGGAGAACGCAGGCACAAGAAATAAGATGGGGAATCCCCCCCGGCCTCCCCCCCCAAAAAAAGCCCGTGAGTCAAGCCTTAGGCGCAAATCTCAAGCCCAAGACTTGAGCCTGTGAGGGTACTGTGGGAGGATACCTTCCTCTTTGAGGGCGTGGGAGAGAGGGTAACAGCAGAACTTCGAGAATCGTCACGGCAAAGGGCACTTTAGGCGACTCACTGCCTGGGCCCGAAAAAAATCCACTCAAGCTGATGCAGGTCTCAAAAAATGGCTACGGAACCTTCAAGATGAGTGGTGTCTCTTGGGTTCCAAAACCGACTCACTTGCCGCTTTAAGACCGGGAAATAACATGTGCTCTAAACATGGACCAAAATAAACTAAGAGTTAACACAATAAAACACATGTTGGTCCAAAGGTGGGTTTGGACGGATAATATCGTCTTTCAACAAAAAAGAAAAGAACAACAGTCCAGAAACTCGAAGTGAGGGAAAGGACAGCCCGATTACAATCGCAAGGGGTAGACTTGCTGTCGGGGTCAACCTAGCCTTTGTCAGTAGCTGGGCGGATTTCTTGGTTTCTCCCTTTGTCTTCCAGGCATCCTCGTTCGAAAGTGTATTGGCCCGTTTGGGAAACCAAAAACAAGATCCTCGAAAAAATGCGCGACAACATTGTGCGAGACTCAACCACTCAGCTCTCGCATAGAGAGCTAATGAGTGGGTTATGATCAGAGTTGATGTCCCCTTTCTCATCATCTGAACCATGCTTCGTTTCTTTGGTACAGGTCCACACGGGGCAAGCAAGAAACTCGAATCACCAGCAACTCCTGCTTCATCTTGAGCAAAACAGGGACACCGCTCAACACGGGAAAGGCCATTGACCGTAACTGTTCAGAGACATCCCAACGGCCCCTCCGCTTTCCGCTCGGAAATCCCGGCGCCTGAAGAGGGCGCATGCCTTGCGCGTCGAACAGGGCAAAAGGAAACGGCGATGTTCCCCGGATGACACTCAGTATCCGGTTATGCGAAGACGTACTGCAGGGGCGTTCCCGGTTCACTTCGAGATAAACTTGTGGATATGCCTACAGCAGCTTGTCTCATAGTTGTAAACAGGCAGTATTTGCAGCTGTGGGTCGGATCACTTCGTGATCACTGGCGTACTGCGGGGTCGCTCCCGATTCACATTGGCATGGGTACAACGTCTCGGTTGGAAGCTAGCACGCGTTCGGTTATTGATGAAATCGGAAGATCGGTTACAGAATGGTTTGATTTTGCTGACGTACTGCAGGGTCGTTCCTGATTTACCTGTTAGAATATGATGATAACCACAATGACAAAGGATGCAAATAAGCAACGACAATAGGGAACTGTGCTCAGGGGGACGCATAAACCCAGGCCTTTTCCCCAATTTGTTGATCGCCCTGAGAAACAAATAGAAGGACACCCTGAAAGTGTAAAAGCCCCCCCATGTCCTCCCAAAATCAACAGCAGGCTACCAATCAATGCTGTGAAGGCAATGAACCTCACTCCCATTCTTTTCAAGCATTCTCTTCAAAACCCAAACGTTTCCCATCCTTGAGTCCGGACAGGTTCCAAACTTTGGGTTTAGAATCGGGAAGCTATCCCTTTTCGACTAGACTGCCTGAAAAAGTTAGCCTGCTGCTGAAGGCTAGTTGAATGTGGCAATTGGGTTGAACAAATCGCCATGGGCCAAAACCCCGTACCCCCGGTGAACATCCCAATCACCACTAAAATGGGTTCTAAAATGGGTGGTGCACCTACCCCAAAATGGGATCCCATTGGTTTTGAACCATGGCCAAATCCGAAGGTACTAGCCACCTTGCCATGGAACCCACCAAATGGCCGCTTGAAGATGGTTCCTGGCAAAGTCGTCACACCCCTGTGCAAATCCACGGGCTTTTGGCTCATTTTTGTTCGGGATTTCGGGGGGCACCAGCAAAGGGAGGTCTAAACAAATGCTTGGGAAGGTCCTCCAGTAGAGAGGCTAGAATAAGGGTACCCTTTTTTCTGTAGTCTATCTTAGTAGACGACAACCCTCCCCCAAAAACGAGAAAGGGGCACTACTGGGGGACCTTGGCGCAGTCTCAGTGTACTGAGGCAACGGCGACCCCGTGGCCGGCTCCTGACCAAGCCGACTCTGACTGTTGCTTGCTTGCTTGCGTGCTTTCTTGCTAGCTTCACCACCTGAGCCACAATCAAAACCTGGGTAAGCGAAGGTTAAGGGACGATCCCAGCCACAAAAAGCTGCGGATATCCGCCTTTGTTCTTGAAGCATGATTCTGGGTCGACCATTTTTCTAGGGGTTGATTCCCCAGTCTTTTCAACCATCGTTCTTTTCAAAAACCAGCCGTTTTCCCTGGATTTCCGGAGGTTATCTAGAAGGATCCCTGGAAAGAATGGGGAAGGTATGCCTAGATGCTTGCTGGCTCGCAAGCTCGCTTGCTTGCTTGTTTTTGTCTGGCGTTGCTCAGGTCTTAAAATAGAAAAAAAAAGGCAGGGCACCATGCTCCATCTGAGATCTGGAGACAAACCCATCTGGCCCTCGACGCAATGCTGTACCGAGGAATGCGCCCCGGTATGACCGAACATTGCCCCAAAATCCCCAATTTCCCACGGCCGTAGCAACACAAACAAGCGCGCAGGAAAGGACATTGTTGCCAAAAAAAGAGAGAAAAAACCCTAGCAAAGCCACAACAAGGTTCCAAACAACCCACCGGCGAACAGAAGGACATCGCTCCAAAAGGGAAAGCGGGCGAAGCGCCACCCGAACTCCTGCAGGCCAAACTCCTCGATGCTGCTGGGCCTGGCCGGGGGAGCGGAAGCCCCCACTCTTCGCCTCCCTTGAAAAGCTTGGGCATGGCTGCCAATGGGATCCCATTCTGGGGTAGGTGCACCCCCATTTTAGAACCTATTTTAGTGGGGGTTGGGATGTTCACTGAAGGTACGATTTGGATTTCGACCCATGGCCACATGAGTTTGGCGCCATTGAGCTGATCGCCACTTTTGGAGGTCCCAAGCTGAAGAACCCCTGGTGTTTGTTTCTTGTGGCTGGGGGAAATGGGAGATCGCCGTGGCAACCCCGACATGGCTTGGTGGCAAGGACGCGGACGCACCCTTCCCGGTTCCAACTCCCAAAGCACCAGCTGAGAGCCACCTGAACTGTCCACCCCCAGGGCATGTTAGGCAAACACCTACTTGTTCTTTGCAGCCCCAGCACGTCAAAACAACCAAACACCCAAATCAACAGAAACCGCGCCAACAGTGAAGCCAAGGCCATGCTTCCCCAACCAAAAACACCCAAAGTGAGCTTGGTGGCATGGCCTCCACCCGAAACTCACACCTGGACGCCCATGAAACAACCTCCGTCCCCGCCAGGTGGCCCTTCCTTAAAGGGTGAAGGGTCAATTGGGGCCGTGAGGAAAAGTGGGCCTCTCGCGGTCATATGCTGAGGGCTTCCCAAAACTCTTTTCGGCCCCGGCAGTTTCCAACCTGAAGATGCCACTTTAATGGGCCCAAAGAAATGAGGCCCGATAGGATCTGGCCGCAACATGGTCTTCTTTCCCCTTCAAATGGGCACCATCAAGGATGCAGCCGTATCGCGGCCGGGTGTTGGTAAGTCCTTAGCCCCTTAGAACACTTGGCGTTTAAGTAACTTATGCGACCCCCACACCTCCAGGGCAGAAATAAGTGTACCTTGTTCCCCCCAACGGCTGAAAGCTTTGGGGTCTCTGCCCACCATGAGAAGGTCTCCGGCGTGGTCGGAACGGCTCCAGAAGGGCTCCGGATGTTGGAGACTTGATTTCAATTGATCCCTCTAACAAAAGGGGAACCCCCCCCTCCAACAAAGGGAGCCCCCCCCCCTCAAACCAAAAGGGGGACAAAGGCGCCACTGGGCAACGTTCCGGCGATGCGACCGCCCGGACCGTTGTGGAGTCCCGGTGCCTACCAGGCCCCGGCAAACAGCCGAAGATGGAGGTCATCGAGGGCCACCATGCCTGCAAGTGTTCCAAGGATTGTTGGGGGAGGGGGGCGTTTGAGGGAAAAAACAGTTAGCGGTCGCTGGAACCCTGAGAAACCACAGGTCGGGGAACAACATTGATAAAGGGGAGAGGGGAATTGGGGGATTTGAGAAATGACGGTGGGTGCGGCGGGTGCGGGAAAGGGGAAAGGGGAAAGGGGAAATGGGGGCAATTGTTTGCGGGAAAAAGGGAAACAAGACACAAAGGGGAAGGCTGGATTGTGGAGAGGGGGGGTAATTTTGGGGAACAACTAAAATTGTTATTGTCTTATGTTTTTTTCTGGTGAAGCTCGTTTTGCCATGGTTCTCTTCTTTTGCCGGGCTCGCAGACCTCCGCTCCAAGGGGGTGTTCGGTGGACGTGGACGAACAGTTTGCCAAAGGCACCCAGAAATCAGAGGCGACTTTTGAGACCAACAGACTCACAATGACCAGATCAAGCCAAAAGAGCTGCTTTTTACACGACGGCCTTCCAACCGAGCCGAACCGGAAGAAGCGCACCGAGACGAGCAGGAAACCAGGAACCGCGCGAACCGAGAAGCTCCGCGAGCCGCGGACCGGCACGGACTGGAAGAAACTACAAGCGGTTGCTGTGGAGGGGGGAAAGCAAACAGGCCTTCCCTGTCCCAAAACAGCTCTACTCTTGGTATGGTAGCAAAACACTTTGTTTCTTGCAGACCCCTAGTAAAAATGAACAGAACCAAAAAACTAAAAAACCAAAAAACATGCCAAGAACAGCGAAGAAAACGGTTTCTTTCTTTGTTTTCTTCGCCCAGAAAAAGCCAACAGCTTCTTCCCCTGCCTCAAAACTTGGCTGCTTGCTTTCGCAAAGGGAAAGAAGGTCAACGCAAATAGGTCTTCCCACGGGTTGCTCTCCTTGCTTTTTGTCAATGGCCCAAAAAGAGAAAAACACTTCCCATGTGCCAGAACCTTTGATGTTGCGTGGGTGCTAGATACAAGCATGCCTGCGTGCGTATGTACATGCATACATACATTGCACTACACCACACTACATACATTCATGCGTACCATTCATGCGTACATAGACGTGTACACACACACACACGCATACACACATACATACACATACACACACACACACACATACATACATACATACATACATACATACATACATACATACATACATACATACATACATACATACATACATACATACATACATACATACATACATACATACATACATACATACATACATACATACATACATACATACATACATACATACATACATACATACATACATACATACATACATACATACATACATACATACATACATACATACATTACATTACATTACATACATACATACATACATACATACATACATACATACATACATACATACATACATACATTACATTACATACATACATACATACATACATACATACATACATACATACATACATACATACATACATACATACATACATACATACATACATACATACATACATACATACATACATACATACATACATACATACATACATACATATACATTACATTACATTACATACATACATACATTACATTACATTACATTACATTACATTACATTACATTACATTACATACATACATACATACATACATACATACATACATACATACATACATACATACATACCTGGGGCCTGAAACGGCTAAAAATAAATGGTTGCTTTGTCTCACGGCCGTTCTTGACTCACTTCGCCCGAAACTGGCCGGACCAGGGTGGCTGACAGGAAAGCAGCAGAATCTGCATGGCAGGGATGTACTCACAGCCGGCAAAATGACTTGCAGCCCAGCCTAAGAAAGAATAGTAAGTCCATATGACAAATTAAGAGCACAACAAAAGAAGCGGGAAACCTCAGTTTGTCGCCATGTGTTTGCCAATATATGGATGACGCGCATAGGTTCCTTCGGTGTGGGGACCAAAGATTCTTCAATGCTAAAACTGCGAACCGAAAAGAATCATATTTGGAAAAAGGCCCATGCAAAGTGTCTTCTTCAATGCTCGCATGCAAAAGTCATGCCAACGTTGCACTGAAATAGTGAGCCGCGGGGTTTGTACCCAAAACGAGCAAATTTACTGTTGTCCCAAAACCCGCGGATTAGAAAACACGCACTTTGAGACACCACCAAAAACAACAACAACACCGATTGCAGTCAGCTGTAGTTAAGTAGGACAGCTTCGACTTTTAGATTCTGGATGTTGAAAGGGTCCCATGCATAAAATAAAGAACTGCCCTTTTTCGACTGGTACAGATGCATACCTGAACGCTGCGTATTCGAAGAACGTATTTCGATCGAACCATCCTGGAGCTCAGGTTGATTGGCCAATCACCGTTTTTGTTGGTCGAAATTGATTTTTCGAACAACTGTTCTTGCCCGTGCAACGCCCATTCTTACCCGTGCAACGCGCATTCTTACCCATGCAAACGACCAGATTCAAAAAGCCGCGTTTTTTCGGATCTCAAATTGTGTTTGATCGGCATCGAATTCAATTTTGCCCGGTCGCTTTTGAAACGTAGCTTTCGAAAAAAGGTTCGAAATAGGCTTTCAAAAAGGGCTTTCAAAAAGTGGGGGCTTTCGAAGGCGGGCGCTAAGAAGGTTTCGAAAGGCGGCTTTCGAAAGGGGGGTTTGAAAGTGCGAAATCGGCTTTCAATGGGGTCTTTCAACTGGAGGCTTTTGACTGAGGGGGTTTGAAAGCGGCTTTCGAAAGGTTGCTTTCGAAAAGGGGTTCCAAAGAGGCTTTTTCGATGTTTCCGAAAAGGAGCTTTCGAACAATATGTTGCCTTCGAAGCATTATTCGAGAGCAGGCTGCGTATCAAATTGCAGAATTGATTGCGTGCGAGGAAAAAGGCCAAGAGAGCTTCACATCAAAGAGCTTTGAATTGGACAATTGTTGGATCAGTCGAACCCTGGTACTCTTTCGAAAGCTGGCATGCGCCATCGATCATGGGTTCCTAGACTTTTAAATCAACTGGACGCAGTAGGAAAGCTTTTGCGTTATTCCTTGAGCGTTCGCAGAAAAGGGGCAGCGGCTGAAGTGCCGCACAAAATCTTGAAACTTAATTCAGTCATCCGACTCTCCTGAAACGGCCGTGTTTGGAGCAAAAGGCCGTTCTCACATGTCCCACTTCTGGACGACTATTTAGATTTGGTCTTTTGGGGTTCCAGGTACATACATACATACATTACATACATACATACATACATACAAGGAACAGGACCGTACACCAGCAGGAACTGCGCGCAATTAACGTGGACTCCGACCCCGCACATGTGCCAGACACTATGCGGAAACCCGTCAAAAACCACCTCATGCCATACATCAATCCACCCACCCTAATCCAGCTTACACACCTCTGGGTGGCAACAAGCCACTGGAATCGGGAGTCCAGATTTGTTGTGGTTTTCACTATCGCCGAGCTTGTTTTCCCTTTTTGCTGCTTTCTGGGTGCTTCACAGGATCCAGGACAGCGGCCCACCAGGCTGAGTATGCAGCCACCTAGGCTCCTCAGCATCCTCGCACTTCACCTTCTCCTTCAGGTAGCTTGGATCCTCCGTCTCCGGCCGCGAAGTCCTGGCTGACGAATCTGGTCCTGGGCCATGTCTGCATGCTGACTTGACCGCGCTGTCGTAGACCCACCTGTGCCCGAGCTGCCCGCGTTTTTGTCGCCTGTCCTGGACATGGCTTTGCGGTGGCCTTCCAAATGTAAAATCTGACCAGATTCACCTTCCCTCACAAGTCAGGTCTTCAGGATCACCGCCGCCTTCCCAACAGGTCTTGAGGGTGTGGGGTGTTTGGCGCCTCACACATGGCAAAGTTCAAACATGCCAGCGCAACGCTTGACCAGACTGAGACACCCGCTTTTGCTGAAAAATGGGAAAATGGGCTCACTGTTCAGAATGTCTCTGAGAGTTATCAAAATCAAAAGCTGGGGTCGCTGCGAAACGGCACTGCTTTTTAGAGCCCGTAATAAATGGTGCACGTTTTGGTGCCACAAAATCAATTCCAATTTGGAACCTCGAGCAAACATTCATGGGCCTCAAGCTATATTTCGCCCCAGGCTCAGTTGTCCGAAGGATGAGGCACAGAAATGAAAGGCGATCACCTTTTGGAGCCACGAAAAAAAAACAAGTTTAACTTCTTGTCGGAAAATCCTCTTCCCAAAAAGGATAGAGTCCAAAAGGCCAACCAAATTGCCAACCAACAAGAATGGGTAGAAACGAAAACTGGGTACCACACACTTCCCGAGCGACCCAACAAATGACCAAAATCCAACTCAGAGAGGGAGACCAAAAATAAGAGGTGATCACCCAAGAGGGTCCACAAAACATAGGTACCCCTTCAACCCAAACCCCGGAACCGGCCGAAAAATGGGCCCAAATCAGCCGAAAAGGGTCAGCCCGGGTGGATTCCGCCTGTGGAGCCGGCGGTGCAGCCTCGCCTGGTGAAGGTCTCAAGGAGAGGCGGGGTCCCTACTCTCTGTTGCTTTCTGTACCCTGCCAAAAGTTTAACTTTTAGTGGTTTAATGGAGAACCCATTAGTGGCAAAAAGCTAAAGTCCCAACATCCAAGCAAAATACACCTAAGCACTTTGAGAAAAGGCCCACAGATGGCCTATGGTTGTTTGAGCACCCTGCTGAGAAGCCAATGCCCTGAGTGGACATAAAAATAATCGGCCAGCAAATTCCAGGCCGGTTTGAAAGGAATCCCAGCACTGCATCTGCTTCTTTCGCAGCGTCTTTGCACCTCTTTCCGACTGTCGCCAAGTCTCATCAAGGCCTTGAACGCAGAGGACTATGAATAAGTTGAAACTGTGATGAACAGGAAAATAAACAGAGACTGTAATTCACTGTGCATGCAGATATTTGCGAAATACTGCACCCGGCCTCCGTAAATGCATTACACCCGCGAAATGTGGATAACCACACGGTTTTTAGCGTGCGAATATAAGGATCAGTCACCACACAGAAGATTCCTTTTGAATCCCGCGTTGCCCGTCTTCAGTGGCAACCCCCAACAAAGGCTTAACCGCCAGAAATGTGACCTGAGGACCGCGTTTGGTGCTCGGCGGTTGGCGTTAGTTGTTGCTTGGTAGGTGCTTGTTCCTTGCTGTTTCGAGCCTGTCACCCCCAAACGCCAGTTCAACGGGTGCCTTTGCCTTCGTCTAAGCTGTGCTGGCTACGCGAGTGCTTGTTATGTGTTTCCTCGGCACGTTACAAGGACAAGTGCCAACAGCAACTTCCCAAAAAGTTCAGCTGGAATCGTACAGGGAACAAGCTGGCACACTTCATGTAGATGTTTTTGCCGTGATAGGTTCCGGACGGGGAATGAGACGGAGAGTCCCAACCCAACCACTTAGGAGCGAAATCAATGGTCTGGCTCTTTGGGTGCTTGAATGGTCCTGTGGCTGCAATTGCTCAACCATCCATCAAAGCCATGTGGCCCGTCAGTGGATTCCGGGCCCCCTAGCCTCTCCTTGTCCTTGTTGCCCGAAATAAAAGGGTAGCAGACAAAAATAGACCAAACAGGAGAAACCACAAGGTCAAAAGGTCGTTTCTGCGCAACAGAGTTTCTTGGGTGGGTTTCCCGAAAATTGACAATGATAAGTGGCTGCAGTTCCTTTCTACAAGCGCCACTGAGCATCTGGGTTTGACCAAACAAAGGAATTCGAAGTACGACCTTCCCCACACCTCCAAGGTTTTTCGGGGTTGGCAAAAGGCCCTGATGCGTCACTGGCTCTAAAACCTTTGTCCACCTGCGAAACAATCAAAAACCCTATCTGTGCTCCACCTTGATATCACAAACAACCCGCCGGGTCGGAAACCGCCCGTGGCGGCGTGGCCTCGAAGACACTGTTCTTGCTCAGGAAGTAGTCAAAAACACCACTATGTACCGTCTGCGTTGGGACCCTTTTCTGAAAGGTTGTTTAATTTTCCTCCACAGGCCGGCGCTCTCAGTTCAAATTTTCAGGCGCTTTCCTGAGCTTGTCCAGCGTCTTGGCAGTCTCACTGGTGCCAGCACATTCGCAGCTCTGACGAGCACAGCGTGACACACGCGCTACTATGGTGCCAGCATGTTTACATCTCTGCCGAACGCAGCATTGCGCACACGCTACCATGGTGCCAGCCCATTTACATCTCTGACGCACGCAGCGTGGCGCGCACGCTACCATGGTGCCAGCACAATTATCTCTGACGCACGCAGCGTGGCGCGCACGCAACCTTGGCGCCAGCACATTTACATCTCTGACGAACGCAGCATGGTGCGCACGCTACCATGGTGCCAGCAGCTCCTGACAAC